AACCATTTACTTTCAACGTAATGAAAACTAGAAATCAACGAAAATATATGTTTTAAAAAGCCTACTTCTTAGAGCCCATAGAGCAACTTTATAATCTAGAAATTGTTATAAAATGTTTTCTAATTATACTTTGAATCTTGATAATTTTCCATTCCGGTGCAATTTGCTTGCGTACATATTCAATTTCAGACATATTTCCGAAGCCCGCTTCGATTTTAGATAAGTATTGATTTGTTTTAAAAAACCGTAGAAAATCGTCTACATTGCAAATGACAGAACATAAATATAGTTCTATCTGTATAGGATTAAGTGCTGCATATTGCTCCACTGCAAGTCCAATTGTATTTAGGTCATTCTTATTTAGTAAACTTATGAATAACACGAGTTTTTCAATTTGTGGATTTGCCGCTACAAAATCAAGCAATGGTGTTAAATGTTTTGAAAAGAAATAGAAAGTGCACACTTTGAGACGACTGAATGTCAATACACCTATAAGTTTGGGTTCAATATTTCTACGAAGCAAATCTAGACTGAGTTCTTCAACACTTTCGAAGTGAATGGGTGTATTTTCAAAACCTTTAAAATGGACGAACGAATAAAACATATGAAGGTATTTGAGACTCCTCATTTCGGTACTGATCAGCTTCCAAATATTTGGATCGCATGCATCCCGTAATTCGAAGCCCCAAAGATGTGCATTTAATGTGATTGCTGTGACAAGATTCTCTCTATTCGAAATATTATTTCCAATGATTCCTATTCGTAGCCTTTCCAAACGTGGGAATTTTATGAATTCTACTTTTGAACGATAGAAGATTAATCTTAGTTCACGCATTCTGGGGAATAAACTTTCAAGTTGCAGTAGTGTTTCAGATGCTATGTTTCCCATACGGGTTTCAACGATTTCGACATTTTCAAATCTGTTCTTCATTCCAATAAAAACGTTGTCAGGGTGTCTGATCACTGTAAATGATGTAAGCGATTTTGAACAATATTCGCTGATGTAAAATAGGATTCTTTCGTAAGTAATTATGTCGATATCTTCTGGTTTGAAGGCTTTTCTGATATCATTTGGCCATACTTCTACTATCGAAATATTCTCTCCAAAAAGCCGTAGAAATTTGAAAATAAATTTCAAATTCCGAATTATGATCGCATTTCTCTGGTTGCATATTGTGATGCATTCACCCACATCGTTAAAGTTTTGTAGACGTATCGGCATTTTGAACTTATGATTGAATGTCATATTAGCTGCTGCTTTAAGGTGCTTATTTCCCTGAGCCACATTGATCAAATCCTCCAAATGTAGGAATCGAAATATATGTTCCAAACAATCAAGGTTTACATCATCAATCTTTGTAGTGATACCAGAGTTTGTCGCTCTCTTTTTATGCTTCAAATTTGACTGTCGATTTATTTTTTTCCGTTTATTTGCCATCACTTCAAGCTGAAACAAATTTCCTTTGGTTAATTCAAAATTCTGGACATTTTTTAATAGAATGAACTGTAATTTACATTTTTTTTTTTGTAAAAACCAAACGATAGTTCCGACTTATTCTCGACGGAAAGGTTGTTGAACTACTCCTATTGTAAAGATTTTGTCGAGTCAATTTGATTTAAAATTATTTCATGATACACTTTTTTATACGGATTTTTTTTTTCTTCAATGAAAACGTTCAGAGAAATTTTTATGCACAATTTAAAACGTTTGTTTTGCGATATATTTTATTTCTGAAGGTGATTTAATCTATAAGTTGCTATGATGAAATAATCGTCAATCGGAATAAGTTTACTGTGAACTAATGTCAAATTGACAGTGTCAATGTTGTGCTTCAGAACGACGGTTGGTATGGATTTAAATTCCGCTTGAATGAAACAATACATTTACAATTTCTACTTCATTTCCAAGAGAAATATTTCTGTTCAATTGAATAAAACCGAAGAAAATGCAAGTCCACTACTTTTTCAAGACTGAAAATTAACAAATGTTTCATTAAAACAAACAAATGGAATTTTAGTAGTCGAATGGATACGTTTAATGTCAACACAATGAATGGTCGCATCCACACACACCTATAATAATACACATGTATGTTAGAAATGTGAATGTCATTGTCATCAATATGTCAACAGTTTCAAGTGATTACAACAGCATTCATAATTAAATTTAAACAATTTAAAAATCCAATCAGTGGAAAATGGATTTGTTAGCTAGTAATAATCAAGGCACAGAGCATGTACTGGACGTAGAAATTTTGGATGAAATTCGGACTGATTTGAGTGAATGTGCTGAGTGGATTAATACGCATCAATTTAATAAAGTTTGTATTTTAGATCACAATATTGAATATTATCTTTGGACATTGTTAGCGAAATGGCTTATTTGAATATTTGGTTTCTGTTCTCGCTAACGAAAGGTATGTCTTCAATTTCCCGATGACTTGATTCCGTGCAGCATAACGATACTGAAGGAGTTGAAGAAAGGCGCATCAGCCGAATTGTGCATCCTGGGAGATACATCATATGGAAGCTGTTGTGTCGATGACTTGAGTGCCATTGAATAAATGAAAACTCTAAAACTCTCGATATAGAACGTCTAAGTTGAAAACGAGCATCTACAATTGATTTCGAAGATGTTAACACAATTATAATTCCAGATAGCTGCTTCACATGTCAATGCCAATGCGATAATACATTTCGGACATGCATGTCTCAGCAAAGTCTCACGATTGCCGGTTCACTATGTATTTCCAAATTTCAAATTGGATGTGGACAAAGTATGTCAAGAGATGAAAAACCACATCTCGAATGCAGATGAAGAGATTGTTGTCTTCTATGCGACAGGGCTCTACTATCATTTAGGTATGTCGATTTTCTGACAACTTCCATTCGATTATTTAACCATTTCTTCTTCTGCAGATGACATTAAATCGGCGCTGAGTTCATTCACAAATGTGTCGTACGCACAGTTGGCACTCGATGGAAAGCCGGATAATTTATGCTGGAAAATGCCAAAGAATAATTTATCGGAAACGACATGTATTTGGATCGGAGATGACAACCAATCCCTTTTCAATCTGAGTTTGACTGTACATGGTAAGTAATTTTCTGCTCATAAATCGCTTGTAAATTGTCACAAGTCAATTTTTCTTCTTTCATTTAACAGCAAAGCAGTGGCTGTCCTGTGATAGACGTAGTTATCAAATAAAAGTAGTCAACAATCCATTAGCAACGAATTGGATGCGTCGCCGAAATTCCTTCGTGAAAAAATGCAAGGATGCACAGGCGATTGGAATTGTTGTGAGCACCCTAACCGCGGACGGTTACTTGAATGCAGTAAACCGAATTCAAACATTGGCCCGTAATCAAGGAATTCGCACATATTTGCTACCTGTAGGCCAAATCAATCCAGCCAAGCTGGGCAATTTTATGGAAATAGACTGCTTTGTGTTTATTGGCTGTCCAGAAAATAGCATTCACACATCAAATGAATGCTACAAACTTTTATCAGTGTTTGAAGCAGAAATCGCTTTCAATCCTGATTGGCGTGTTCAGTTATTTGAATTTGGCAAGCGAATTCAATCGAACTCAGAAGAGTCTCAACAAGACAATGTGGAACATCAAGGTATGAAATAAGTTTGAATTTCCATTTAGGATAAATATATGGATTCAAGCTTTAACTATGATTCAAATGTTTTCTTTCACCCGTATTAGGCGAAAACGTCGAACACCTAGATGAAATCGAAGATTCCGAAGAAGCTTGTTTATTTTGTCATGGCACAGGAAAGCAGCGAACGTGCACAAACTGCCACAAGATTTGCCAAACGTTTGGAGAATTGGAGAAGCATCGAACGGATCAATTGGTGTACAAATGTTCAGACACTCAGGGTAAATACCAATTGATAAAACTCGCCCGCATTCACGCTAAGAATTTCACATTTTGTTCATTTCTATGCTAGTTGAGGAGCAGTCAACAGAAGATGAGAAACGTTGCGAAATTTGTCAAGGAGTTGTTGCGAATCCCGAGGTGTGCTCTAATTGTCAGACCGTGGAAAGCCCAATTCAATGCATGAGTTGCTCCAGAAGCTTCTCAACTAAAGAGCTTTACAATAAACACAGAACGGCGCGTCTAAGCTGTGATGTATGCTTTTTAGGATTTAGCCAAATCACATGCAATGCATACATTTTAATGCAATTAATTAAATTATTTCAGGTTTTTCCAAAATTAATGCGTATTGTTGGCACAAAAGAAACTAAAAGTGTGAATGTGATGGAAAACTTGGGTGGTCAAATGACGCGATTCATAAATAGGGCAAACGTAGAATTGGAAGCATGCTCGCCTGCAGCTGTAGTCTATTTGCTGGAGAGGAACAAAAATTTGAAAACGCTGAATGCTTCTTATATAACCGGAAATTTATTTTCTTTCCCGACATCGTTTGCCTTGAAACCAAATCAACAATCGCCTGCTTTGAAGAAGCTACGTCTATCATCAAGTACAAAATCATCAGGTTCATCGATGAGTATTGAGAATTTGCGAGCATTGCTTCAGTTAGACAGTTTGCGTCACCTTTCGCTAACATCGTTCGAGTCACTGGACGCTAATCAATTGGAGCCATTGGCATCGTTGACCGCACTTGTGTCCCTTGAGCTAGGCAAATGTAATAATTTGGCCGGTGGTTTTGCAAAGAATATTCTAATAAAACTACGGAATTTGGAGCGTTTACGTTTGGAGGATGGCAAAGGATGTGTCACATTTGATATTCTTGAAGCGGTTGAAAAGCTTCCGAAGCTGGTTCAATTGGAACTAGTTAACTTTGACATAGAACTCGGCTTCGACACACGCATCGCACAATGCAAGCGCTTGAAACGCCTATTAATTATTCCGACATACATTTCACAGTCGGCAACCACAAACAATCTTGTACTGTCGAGCATTGCTCATCTTGGTGATACGCTACAGTCAGTCACATGGGTCGTAACACAGGAATTGATTCGTGTCACTGATTTATACACCGAAGTTCACGGAATACAACCGCGTAGAACGAATGAAGACGAAATACCAATAAAAAAACCGGTGCCAATGGTGCGGGAATCACTGAGGTCGCAAACATCCAGCGATGCAAGTCCACAACACGTTGAAATTTTGCCGCTGAGCCGTGTGAGAGCCATCATCAAGAAAAAATTTGGGAAACTCATACTAACTATTGAGACGGTCCCGTTCACAGCCACTTGGCGACACACAATAAGCGAAGCTTTCCAACCACAACCGGCAGCGTCCAAAAAAACCAGCCCCAAAAAAACCGCACCAAAAAAAACCTTTCCAACTAAATTGGGCTGATTGCGTTTCAGTATTCACCTCCTAAAATACCGTTTGGCCTTGAGGAAAAATTAATGAACAATTGAAGTTTTTTTCTTCTATTTTCAATACATATATCACAGAAAAAAATTAAAACGTTGAAAATGTGTACATCGGTTGAATGATGACAACCAATCATTTATCTAATTTATAGTTTCCAAATGATAATTTCAATCGTTTCGGAATGGCGGTCATAAGCAGAATCATCGTCGTTTTTTTTCTCGAAAAATTCTCGTACATCGCATTTGGGTGTATCAATCTGTAGATATTCAAGCAAATAAAAGAAGAAGAAAAAATGTCGTTGATTCTTTTAAAAACATTAAATCGAATAAGGAAAACAAAATCAATATGCATGTAAATGATACACAAACACCCGAAGACTTTCAAATAAAGAAAATCTAATTTCTTTTTTTCTGCTCAATTTATTTGTTATTTATTCTATATCTACACAGTATTCAGATTTCGACTATAGGCAAAATGTGGACTCAATTTCCATTGTGAAAGTAATATCGATGCAGTAGCTAACCAACATGATTATCGATTCAGTAATACTTAACAAAGAATGTATCAAACTTGCCAACGGATGTGTTTTAAAAGTGTCGATTTAATTTTACACAAGAAAAAGAGCAAACTGTTTTTTTATTAAACTTCAGAATGACAAAGTTTCAATTCACGGCATTTGAATTACAATTTAGTGCTAACATAATTATAATTCGATTGTTGACTGCAAAACGATGAAATCTGTTTATTTTACTGTATGCGAGTCAATTGTATATGAGCGATTAAGAAATGTAAACATTCAAAATGAATTGTTGAGCACTGGCTGTTCGCGGCTTGGAGTTCTATCAAATGGTCACCAATGCAAGATTCCTTTTTATCAATCCAAACAAAAAATACCTCAAACTTGCCTACGGAAGCGATTTGAAAGTAGCGATTTATGTTGTGAATTTCATAAATACTTAACGCATCGATACATTGTCAAAAAGTAAGCTATGCTAAAAATATGAGGATTCTTGAAATTTTGACTTCGAACAAGCAATGAACATTGGTCAATTTAAATCGGTAAAAATTAATATATAATAAAAAAAATAATCATTTTATCAAATAGCAATAAATGATATTGAAAAGGAGCACACTAATTTGTGCATTGATATTTTAATGGTATCGAGTAAATGTAACAGTTTTTGTTTCGTTAGTATTGACTATGTGTTTGGAAAGTTATGACTTTCTGATAAATGTATTTGGTAAAGTTGGAATTTTTGAAGAAGATCTAAGATCCAAGGACTAGGTAGAAAATCTGCAACGTGTGAAAATCAAAAATATCGAACGAAGTGTCGAGACGGTTGTTCCAATTTGAATGATCAAATTTGGTTGACTTTCAGCCAAACACCATCCAAACTCGGAATGAGTGTATTTTTGTCTGCCGAATATTTGATTGGTATTTGTGTTCGATTGCAAGTAGAAAATTTGAATTTTTGTAACAGCGATACCAAAGCAACGGTAACAAGAAGCGTTGCAAAGCGATAGCCGATGCATTGTCTTTGACCTGAAATGCAAGACAACAGGATTGAATTATTTGGAAAGCACAACAAAAAATGAGTTGAATGATTGAAACAGTAAAGGGTGGAATAGTAAAAAATAAAAATCAAATATATTTACCTGCTCCGAATGATATAGATGCGCTCGATGGAGGCTCTTTTCGTTCAACGTTGAATTCTTCGGGATCAGGATAGAACGCGGCATCGTGGTGAATGGCGTAAATTGGAATAAAAACGCGCATTCCCTTTGGTATTAAAATGTTTGTTTCGGGTACCTGGTACGATTTGGTTGCGATTCTCGTTAAATTACCAGCCACCGGATGCTTTCGCAACGTTTCTGTGAAAAAAAATCGATAAAGATTTCCAAGTAAGAGCTGATTTTTCATAACAATTAAATGTAGTAGAAAATATTGGCATGAATTTGATTCAATATTGAATGTACATATATGTACGCAGTGGATATTGACTTGAAATTACCGTTAATAATTTTTTTGCAATACACCATCTGTGTCAACACTTCATTCGTCAGCTGTCCGTTATTTTGCTCCAAAATGGATTGAATTTCCTTCCTGGCTTTATCTTGGATATGCCAATTGCCTGGAAGTGCCAGCTCGTATAAACAGTACGCGAGCGTAGAAGTCGAGTCAGCATAGCCGGCGGACAGAAAATCAAAGGCAAGCGCTGCAATTTCGTTTATTTTCAAACCCGCATCAATAAGCAATTGCATATAATCGTTGCCTCTTACGTTGTTTTTTTCGCGATACTGAATGGTTTGCTCAACAACATTTATAAAGAAATCGGACACGTCTTTTGGATGTTTTCGGAAGTTAAACAAAGGGATATACCAGAATTTGGATAAAAATCTAGCCAATCTTGGGTATGCGGTTGTAAAATGATTCCACGGGAATTTCAAGTGTGGTTGCATTGCCTCTTTGGTCTTTTCACGAAGTTGTGTTGATTCATCCAATGTTTTACAATGAATGCCAATGGCGACTTCACCAATTACGTCCGTCGTAAATCGGCTGAATAGTTCCCGAATTTCCACTTGGTCCTCGGTCTCGACGATTTCGTTCAATCCTCTAACGAGCGCATCTCCGACGGTTTTCATCGTTTCAAACATGTCTTTAATTTTGGTTGGAGTGAATGCTGGTGTCAATTTCGATCGAAGCGGTTTCCATTTTGCATGATCCAAAGTACCCAGAATACCGCTCAATGGATCCCTTTCGGTGTAAAACATGCCACGATCTTGGAAATGTTGAAAGTCTTTGATTAAAACACGTCGAATCAATTCTAAGTCAATGATCATCACTGATGGTTCCAAAAGCATATTTATTCCGATTAGTGGTTGTGTTCGATAGCGTTGATAGAAATCGGCGAGTTGGAGAGATCGATGTTTTTCATGTGAAATGTTTCCGTAAATATATGGAGATTCCAGTGGAACAAACGAAAGATTTGACATCCAACGTATCCATTTACAGCGAAGTACGAGGAAAAAAACGAAACACAAAAAGAATCCGAATAAACACAATAGAGCGAATACAATCGCTTTCAAAATTGAGAGAATCATTTCGAATCAACTTGAACACACAATTTTTCACTGTTCACGATCTCGTTGTGCGCATTGAATGCAACTGGATATGTTTTTAATATGAGTTTTTGGTTGGAAAATATTTTTTTTTTTTTCGAATTTCTGCACAAGTTCAGTACATAAATGTTATGGTTGAATCGCAATGAAATAGTAAATCACAACAATTATGTATAGTCTGTATTAATTACGAATGCCTCAATATTTTTGGACAGAAAAACACAAAATATTTATTCTTCATTAAATTTCCGAATCAAAAACGTTCTTGATTCACTGTTTTCGAACGACGATCAAATGCTCTTTAATCGATTGCTCACGATACGACTGCCAAACGAAGAATGCGGTTTGTTGTACTGTGCGGCAATTATTATATGTATACGATAAGGATATGTAAACATCCGAAGCGAGTGTGGTTGTTGTACACTGGAAGCTTGCGGCTTACTCAACCAATGTATGTGCACTCGAACAAATGGCTTATTTCGGTGCTATACACATACTTTTCGTAAATTCGATTCTATGGCTACGTTACGTAGCCTACGTAGAACATAGTAGCCGTGCGTTCTTCTGCAGTTCGCCAATAGCACACACAAACGGCTCAGCGTAGAATGAAATATTCGAAGAGTATGCGAGAGCACCGAAATAAACCGAAGTGCAGAATCATAAACCATACCATTTGTTTCAGTGCACAGAGATGTGTTCCGTAGGGCTCTAACAAATGGTCACCAATGAAAGAATATTTTCAATCGCACAACGTTTATTGGTGAAGCGATAAATATCGTGAATATCCCCATGAAGAAAAGTCTCCCCGGACAATCGGATTCAAATCCGCAACGATTCAGCTCTGCACTCGACAATGCTCCGGTTCACACTTTCATTTCAACGCTCATTTGCATTGCATACATTCAAAGGCCGTTTTTTTGGCAGAAATTAATCGTGAACGTATGCGTTTCACTATTGACGCTTTGACATCCACATTATTTAAGCGTTAGTGTAATTCTCTGTCGATATTTCGCCGGTGTATGCAAATGTACACTATTGAGTATCGTGTTATCGACAGAACTGCATTGTACGGAACTGAATCATAACGGAGTTAATGCTTCTTTTATTTATAAACAAACGTCTTTTGTAAACTAAAAAATGTAACATAGCACTTTTATTTGGAGTCACAATCAAGTGGCAATGGCCCAAAACAAAAACGAATTCTGAATTTGAAGTAAGCCAATATGATAAACAGCATACACGGAAAATGGAAATCATTCTATACACAACTGAAAAACGGTCCGAAATGTAACTAACTATTGAAGCCACGAATGCTAAATGATGTTCAACTGAATTCAGGCAATTAAAAAGAATAACAAAACATTTATTTAAACACCGTTAAATTCGAATGGAATGAAAATTGGAAATAAACTTAAGTGAAGCGGGCTGCATTAATATATATTGTTTTGGAATCCGTTTGGATGTGCTTTTCTGTATTGAATAATAATCACTTGATATCACTCATTCTGGTTTAATTGGTCTTATTAGAATAGAACGTTATAGTTATTTCCAATTCTCTATTTCATGAACGTGTATATTTTCAAAATTCGCAATGTTGATTGTAAACTTTAATCCTTCTTTCTTTCTATTTTCGCCGAATCGTTAGAATAGTTTCAATCGTTATTGGCTTAACGTGATTAATGACATGCCTCGATAATATTTTGAATGATCTCATTTTAGACGTGTCTTCTATTCTATTGAAGACTATTCATTGGAATTTTTTTGAACAAATTTTTCAGGAAATTTGAACTAATCTTTCCTTTTTAAGGGTTAGATTGAATATGTGCATACATTTTATGTAGTTCGTGTTTGCATCATTTGATTGCTTTTGCCTGCATCAAATATAGCAAGAAACATCACAAATGCAGTTATTTTTATTTTACTACCGAAATGCACATCGTCACATGCTCTAAATGGTTTTACGAAGAAACAATTATTAATATTTACACCAATGAGGCAACGCTTGGAAACGGATATCATGTTATTGATAAAATGATAAGCGAATTATATATAAATATTATTTCATCGTCAGCAGAAAAAAACCGTTGGATGTATTATTGAACTTGAAAAAGTGTAATTGATTTAAATGTCAATTCAAAAAATGAACAAACGAACGAACTTTCTTTAAATTAATAAAGAGAACGTAAAATTTGTTTTTCGGTAGCATTCAAAAAATATGAAAAATAAATCAAAATCGTAAAAATTCAATTTGAAATCAAGAAGTAAAAAAATATCGTCGTGTGCTAATGCGATAAAAACGTCTAGAAGAAGCAATTAAAAAAGTCACCAAATATGGGATGAATCTTACCTCTTCAGTCTTCAATGAATAAATTTTGATTCTCTATCGTTGCTGAGAGTTAAAAAAAAGTTACAAATAAAACCCATGAGTTTTAATAGTTTATAAATATCGTCTATTTTCACTAATCTATTATTATTTTAATTTTTGTTTCATTCAATCAATTTATCTGGCTTATTAAAGCGTGGTTTTTAATACGAATGTATTTTTATTTACGGCTAAGCGATTTATCTATTAATTTCAAGATAATTTACTGTCGTCGACTGAATCGATACTTGTTTTGTACCTCGCTTATGCTGTGTATCTGTGTGTTCAGGTCTAAAATCGTTCAAAAATAAGAAACATGTCATTTGAATAAGATCATATTTATCTGGAAAAATTGTCTACACTCAATTCGATTTCTTTGGCTACGCATACCAACACTGTACCAATTGATATTTTCATCTATATGCAAGTTGTAAAGCTGTAAAAAGGATTTGTGTGTCTTATTTATTCAAATAAAATTGTGGATGGTGAAGTGTTGTTGTTGGCAATTTTAGAAAGAGATATTCTAAAAAGGATTGATAATATTAATATATTTGTGTTGTTGGTGTTTTGTTGTTTCACTAATCAGGCCGAAAAAGCGCGTGTGTGTTTTTCTGCCAATTTTTGTTTTCATTAGATCATCTAAACATTTCGCATAAATTTTGATTGCTGAAGATTTATTTCAATAGATTTTCTTAGAAGCAGATTTCCTATCTATATTCAATTACACGTACAATTTACCAATTCGTTTTATTAGAAAAAAAAGATGTATTAGTTTAGGCAAAAATCGAATTACAATTTTTTGTTTTGTTCAACTCAGTTTTTCACATGTCTCGCCTCATTTATAAGAGAACTTTTCAATTTAAAATTATTTCATTTTATATACAAAAAAGGTTGTGGTTTTCTATTCATTTTGTTGTTGTGTCTCTCCTTCTTCTTTCGTTCAAATGAACTATAACAAAAAAGGGGTTTACTCGGCAACGGTGGCTAATTCGCTTGCAGCTGATTTAGCCGTACTAATTGCTCCCACTGACGATTCTGAATTTAGATCCAATGAGCCCATTGCTTCAGTAATATCGCTCGGATTGAATGTATCACTTTTTGCTTCGGTTATGGTATCGTCGGACATTGGATTCGGTGTGGTTGAATGTGAAACAATACCTTCATCTTCACCCTCCGTTCCCGATATTAAATCTTCGCTACGTTCATCGAAAACATTGTCATCAATCACACTATTTCCACCACGTATAATGCTATCCATTGAATCATCCAAACCGCCCAGACTACTTGTCTGCAGTGATCGTAGCGAATGCAATGAGCCGCCCATCGATTTTAATGATTCCATGGGTCGTAACACCAAATAAAGCAATATATCCGATAACGAAATGATACCAATCACTTTGTCGGCCTCATCAACAATGACTAGACGATGCACTTCGGCGCGCACAATACGCTCCATTATGACATACAGCGTTTCATCCAATATACACTTTTGAACACCTTCAAACCACGCGTTCCGATGCTCATTCGCCTTACGCAACGACACATTCAAGTCATTGTAAGTTTTCTCTGCCGCTAAATTCTGTAAAAATCAAGCCGATTTGAAAATGGTTTGTTTTATATTTGTCATGATTTGGATTGTAATCCCATGGTGTAATTTGAAAAGATCAAAAGTAGAACACTTACAATCACATCAAATTTTGCATAAATATCAACTAAACGGCCCTCTGAATCGATCACTGGCAACGCAGACACACGACGATCAATGAACTTATGCAGCGCATCTATAATACTAGTGTCCTCATTTGCAGTCTCGATATTATCATACGTTCCTATACGAATTTCACGCAATGTTTTATGGATGTATGCAGGTTTTGGTAGCTCATTTATCTGCAAATATTTCATTATTTTTTTTCAATTTTTTCGAATAATTTAAAAAAAAAATCAGTTTGATGAGAATCAATAATGTGATGATGACACAGCGACAAGTGTTTATATGGTACTTTGTTTGATGTACTAAGTACATTGTACTTACATATAAAAATAAAAACCGTAGGATCCTCTTGTGGGTCAAAATGTATAAAACGTTACCGGTTAGTGTATCAATAACGGGCAGTCTATGGATTCGATTGGTTATCAGCATTTTAATGGCATCAAACAGTGATGCGTCCGGACCAATGCTCACCAGCGGCAATACTTGGGCGTTAAGGACACCTTTAGCATTATTGAAGAATAAAACAAATGCAAATTGTATTCCCATTCATTGTCTAGTGTAATATTGTGACGATTTGTCACTTACGAATGACTTACTTCTCCATGTTTCTAACTTGTGCTCTTCCAATTGATCCATAGATGTATTCGGTGATGTGTAATATGCTCGAAGGATTTTGATAAAATCAGTTATCGTTAACATGCCAACAAATGACTGCTTCGTGGAATCCCATAGTGGTGCAGCACGGACACCTGTAATCAAACCGAAATTTAGCCACAAATTATATGAAATTATTTTTCGGCTTAAATTTAATTCCAATTTGTTGATCACTCAATTTTTGTGGAATTTTTCGAATTTGCTCAAATAGCATACCATTGTAAACGAGTGCATAAAACGCCTTCTTCACTAATAGTTGAGTATCAAAAACCACCAATTTAGCGGATGTTGGTATCAAGTCGTAGCATTTGTGAAACCGGAAGAATTTCACAAAAATCAGCGAATCATCTTCTTCTGCAATGAAAAGACAAACCCCATAAATGTTACAGTGTGTTCCAAAAAAAAATAAAATAAGGTCAAGCGTATATGATTCATGATGATGATTTCGAACCTCTACGCAGCAAATGAGCTAAGAAACGTTTCCATGCTTCGGATACTTGTTCAAATTCTTTAATACTTTCTAATGGATACGTATCAAACGACCACCAATCATGGTATTCATTGTGTAGCACCAATCGACCGGCATAATTTGAATAGAAATGAAGCTGAAGCATATTTAGAAATGTTCCACGCAACGGATTGCCCCGTTTTATCGCAATATATTTACACAACTTTAAATCGTCGATTTGAAAATATGCACATTTTATACCGACACTAAACAGCTCTTAATATATCACAAACAAATAGCACAAAAATGTTGTTAAGTTTGTCATCACAATTCTGAATAGGCGACAAGGAATTAAAGCGATGCGACACTATTAGTCCGTGCACACAACGTGAATTATATAACGGTATTTTCTTTTTCAATAAACATATTTATTAATTTAAATATTTAGCTCGTCCCGACTTGGATTTCAGTGAAAAACTGTGTTCGAATACGTGTCGAATCGAAAAAGAAAAACTTGATTGGTTTGCAGGAGGTGCGTCGGTGTGATTTGTAAGTTTTATTCGTAAGGTGCTCTTTTTTTCATTATAAAATTAGAAACGAAATAAATTTTGTGTACGGCACTGAAGCGCGATGCAATCCGTTTGAATGACAGTGCCCCATCGTATCGAAGGCGATGCGAGAAGTGAAAAAAACCGCAACTCACTACACATACAGAGAAAAAATCACAATAGAAGCCAACGCCGTTCGGAATTAGTTTTTCTTTTCTGTTGTTTTCAGCGTCGTTCGAATTGACTACCAGCTGATTTCTATTATTACATTCGAGTGTGAATCGAGTACATTTGGCATACGAAACCGACGAAATACTTTTCGGAGGGAGCGCTAAGCGACGTGTAAACAAATTTCAAATGACATCGGCGCAAATGGACGCTACGCTACATGATCGTTTTTAACTAAATATTAGTTGCATTTCATCGGGCTGTTTTTACCAGTACCGAACTGTGTGCTCATTTTAAGTGAAGGCAGGACATTCGAGAGTGCGCGTGCTTATTGCCGTCTAAGCGAGACGGTTTAAATGTTATGAACGATCATTAAACCTATTTTTAAAATCTATTTTGTGATGAGTTACTTTGTTCTATATCGTCCACGTTGTACGCATGCGTCATTCGAACGAGTTCAAACCGACTCGTAAACAAGATCGAAGGAGAGTCGCTCGATGGTTACACGCAATAAGATAAAACTAGTCGTGTCATTAGCATCGGTCCGAAAGAAAACTAAATAAGGCCACTCATATAGCTGGCTGCGTAAACTCTGAAATGCCATTGAATTCGTGGAAACTTACCCGAATCTGACATATTGTACTTTTCCAAGAACGGATCCGCAACGGGTAGCTGTAATCAAGAGCAAAAAATGCCGAGAATGTGAATCATCATCAAAAACAAAGATAACTCATGCGGATGTATATATATGTTAGATTTGTATAAACATGAGAGTTTGTCGCATATAAATAAAAAGATACGTACGCCTCTTGAATCACGAAATAGTATAGCTGCATAATATGGATCGAGTGTGCCATCTGATCGTAAGCCACGTGTCGCTCCCAATGAAGCGCGTCGCTTTTCCAATTCAGCTGATGCTCGTCGCATTATTGCACTCTGCGTCGCCATTTGATGTTGAAGCATTGAAGCCGCTTTCTAAACATCCAAATTGACAAAAACAAAGAGTTCATGATCATCGTTTTTTCTTCTGAGTAAACCAGAATATCGATTTGTTGACTAAACCTACCGCTTTGCGTTTATCCGCTTCGGAAACGGCTGAATTCGATCGATGCCTGAATAAGTCCATCATTTTGGTCATCGGTGATTTAGCATGATCAAGCCTTCGTACAGCGGTCACAGTATGATAATACTGTGCATCACTGCCACCGTGCGGATGCGCTGAACCATCTCGGTATTTTGATGACTTTGAATCGGATTTTGTACCAATTGTATGTTGCATCGCTGCTTTCATGCTATGCATTATGCCAGACCCACTATGCGTACTACTTCCGCTTGCACTACTGTCTTTATCGGTCGATTGTGCCTTGGCCAATTCACGTTCTGCTTTTCGTTTGGCGTCAGACTTTGAACGTGGCCGAAACACATCAAATATGGTTGGCCGACGATTTGGACTAGCAATGCCATGAACTGTTGACTGATTAATGATTGAATCACCATCGCCACTCTTTCGCCGTTCCAATGAGTTTGAGCGATTATTTTTCCTGTCGAAATAAAAGAAGAAAAAAAAAACCAATTGGAAAATGCCCAAATTGCTGTATGTTGATTGCTGTATGTTGCCATCTACTTACTTCTTTGGTTTGAGTTCATCTAATTTTTTGCTTGCACCATCATTTTCTACCGATTTGGTCGCTTCACCATTCTTGGCTGAGCGATTTTGTCCACGGCCATCGGCCTCCTGTTGCGGAGAAAAAAACATTAAATTGAATTTAGCTACAGCATTCAAATCCAGTTCGACATGAAATTTGTTTCATTGAAAGAAATCCAACGATCGACAATTGTGAATTTTCCGAAAATATATTTAGTTTCAAAGCCTTTCAAGTGTTATTATTCGTATGCAGAACTTACAACCAATTGTACCCTGGGTTTGATATCTTTTCGTCGTTCCCAGATATTGCCGTCAATGTTTAATGAACTTTCTTGGCCATTGTCATTCGATGTGTTCAACGATTGCATGCTGTTCGCATTGATACGAACTAAAGATGTGTCGAAGAATCTCTTATCCAAATGTGGTTCGAATGTGGCGTTTGGAGCGAACAAACCGCTGAGCGATGTTCGATTCGATGATGATGAACAGGGGAAGCTGATGGTAGCCGCATTCGATTTGGCTGTTAAATTTCGTAGATTTTCTGCTTCCGGTCTGAGCAGCACCTTTGAATCCATACGTGTGACGATGAATTTGCGTTTGGCTCCCGTTTTGACTTGTGTATCATCGGCACTTCTGTTATCAATCGGTGTTTCGTCTTTGTTGTTGTTATTGTTGTTGTTGCCATTGGTAAAATTGTTATTGACCACATCAATTTTAAGCTTGTCATCGTCGACACCATCATCGTCATCGCTTAAGGTCACCGGTGAATTTGATAGTATTTCATTGGCACTGTTGTTTATCAAAACGGTTTTTCTCAAGTCACCCGCACCAGCACTGGCCGCCAGCATATCCGTCGACACACGATACAGTAAATCCGATGAAGATGACGAAATGTCTCTGACTACAGTGTTTTCATCGATTTCCGGTAGTCGTTTAAACTTGGCCAATTTGCTGGTGGTGAGTGCGGTTGCACTTGCTGGTGGTGGAATTGTGATGGTGTCAATGCTTTCCAGGTCATCCATTGACGCTGCAAATTCTTGCTCGAATTCGTCGTGTATCATATTTTTTCAATGCAAACCGTTTTACTTTTTCTGCTAACTCACCGAAAAAAAAAATTCCAAAATAAATGCGCTGCTCTTCAACGTTGCGCCAAACAGTTTATGGCAGTTTTGTTTGTTTCTTTTGGTGAACAATAAAATAGTTTTGAATGGTTATTATCTGTTTGTCTGTGCTTTGAACGATCACACACATGCGATGTCATCAAGTGTTTTTTTCATTGCTGTCCACAGATGACATTTGCTAATCAATCGTTGTGTATGGATCACCAGGCAAAACCCGCACTCTTTGTATGTATGTCGTCGTCGTCGTTTATCGTAGTTTCTCACAGCGGCTCAATATTAATGGAAACGAAGAATGACAAACATACAAACAACAAAAATGAAGAAGAAAACAATCAATTTTTGTTTTCTGTCTTTGTTGCTTGCCCTTTTTTCCCCTCGTCTCTTCTTCACTTTATGTAGTTTAACTTTTGACTTTGTTTTAATTGCCTAAATGAACATTTTTAATGTGTCTCACATGTGACTCTTCTGTGTGACAGTCACACTAATACATAACTCTCTGTCCACTGATGTGAATTATTAATAGGCACACATAACAATAACAACAACAATAACAATAACCATGAATATATTCTTCTTCTTCTATTTACTTGAGCGCTTTATTGGCTCTGTGTGTATTTCACTCTTTCTGTATGTTGTTGTTTTTCTCCTTCTTTTTCTTTGTTAATTCTCCGTTGAAATATGTATCTCTTGTTGTTCTTTTTTCGGCTGAACGCTGTGTAAAATTACGCGAAAACGATTTAAAACTGAAATTGAACACTCAATATAACAATCATTATGTAGATGTACGAATCAAAACGGTAAAATATCAACTAATAACTCCACTTCACACTGATATACGAGGATGGCGATCGTATAACATACAACTAAAAAAAAAGGCTAAACACAGGCAATAAATCGTTCGGTGTTAAGTGAAATAATGATCGCATAATGTTGATGATTTAATAACTCTCTTAATGCCTTGTGCTATTTTTTTTCTGCCTGATTTTCAACACGTAATATTTTATTTTCTCCCATTTGACTGCTCAACCCTTGCCTCGTGTTTCTTAATTTTTTCGGTGGATTTTCCCAATTCCAGCGTATGTTATATTCGCATTGATTGCGTTAATCGGGTACAGAGAATGATTTGGGCTATTTTGTGTCAAAGAGTAAAGCACACATAAAGAAATTTGCGTCTTTTTATGGTTTCGGTAATAATCAAAATGCGTCTGCGCGATCACACATCTCATTGCCATTTGTTATCTCGCTTTTGCTTGATGTGGCCCCGCGAGACACACCGACCGATTTCAGAGACGTTCATATATCGTCGTTCCCCGTTTGCTTATACACACCATTCATGTGTGTGTGTATCGTTGTGTGTGTGTGTTTTTTTTGTGCGTTTCAACGACGAAGTTACAATTATTCCGAGCGGAACACACTCGGTGTGAGCGATAGAAATACCGGAGCAAGAGAGAGACGCACAGTGAGAGAGGCGTGCGCGAGCGTACAACAATATTTTCAACTGAAACGAACAATAATTTGTGTGTGGCACGATTGCTCAGTTTCAGTGCTAGTTGTCGTTGTCGCAGTTGACGCCGACTTGAGACACAACTCAAACATTTATTTATTTCAATAAATTCACAAATTTATTTACTCAGCGGCCGCACTCAATTGTTTATGCACGTTCCAATGTCACACACTCACTTTGAACGAAGCGTTTATTTACAATTTACATTATAATCAATTTGTCAACGTGAAAATTTCAATTTCAATTCACTCTCTTCTTGATCCTTGTGAGACGGTCATATCACATATGGGCTTCAGTGTGTGTTTTTTTCCGTCGATTATTTCGTTGAGATTCTCTCCTCTAGACGACTGATCTATGGACCACTTCATATACGTATGCACGGCGCATATGGATGAGCTAATCACTTTTCGTCTTGCATAATTTTCCATCTGTTTGTTTTTTTCTCCTCGTTTCAATTCAACGAAAATAAATTATGCAAATCGAAAATGGATGGCTATCGATACAGAAAAAAAATCAGTTATAAATTGACAAAAAGTCTCTCTCGCTTTCGCTCTGATCTTTGGCCGGCAAACTAATATCGCATTAGTTGATGTTTTGTGAGGCATATTCAATCGACAATCGCTTCTTATTAGATTTTATCACATTTTTTTAAAAATAATTTTGATTAATTGCTCATCATTCTTATCAACGAACAATCTGACCGAATTAGATTGGTCGTGCGCGCTCTCCCTTTGTGTACTTGTGAGCTTTGGATGTGCGGGCTCTCCGATTTGCATACGCTCCAAACTACACACCGACAAACATCAAAATCTATTAAAGCCAATTATTTATTTATACATAAACACAATGGAAATTAGACGGGAAGGACGGTTCTATTCTATACGAATCGATTCTAGTCGAAAAGAGAGAGAGAAAGAGAGAAAGAGATAAAAACAATAATCGCACAACCGACCGATCTTGAAGAGACTTGCTGTGATCACGTTTAGATAGTTTGTGCTAGTGCGCACGTCCAATTCGATGAGAATGACTGTTTAATGCGTAAACCAGTTGCGGATATGAGAGCCGATTCACTTAGAACATGGCGCGACAGAGACAGAAAAACAAAGAGTGTAGAAAAAACGCAGTTCGAATATTCAATGGAATGGAAAATGACCTACGTTTTACGTCATTTTTTGTTCGTGTATAAAATACGGTTTTTTCTGCCGTTGACACTCTTTTTCTCGCTCTTTTTTCATTCACAATGCAACGATTGTTCTATCGTGCTGGCTTCGTGGGCTATATTTTATTAAATGTATAACCATTTTTCTTCCACGAAATTCGATGAAATCAGAATTTTCGCTCCGTGAAACGCGCAACAAAAGCACATACATACACACACGCGAACGTCAAAACACATGATTCCAATCGTTTTTCGGTTTGACAGTTCTTACCGCCACGAACAGAAAGAGAGCAATACAAAGCTTCTTCTTCATTTATTCTGTCGTTTGTTTTTTTCTTTTTATCGGGGTTAATTATGATATGCACAATGGAGAAGAACAAAGAAGAAGAAAATCAGAATCAATGCTTAGTCACAATCATTTAATTAACACAGAGAGAAATCGGCTCACTGTTATACAATAGCCGAATTGAATGTGTGTTTTTTTCTCTTCTCTTATTTGCCAATTACGTAGTTCAAACATCATACATCTACAACACTATTTCATTTATGAATGTTAAGCACGAAAACGCAATAATTTTCATTGAACATCTTTTTTGGCAGTTCTGTTTTTTCCCTTCTATTTCGCAGCTATTTAACTTTGACATTTACGTTATTACTTGAAGGAAAAAAAACCATTTTTTTTCTAGCCTTTCAAATTGATTATCTTTTTTTAAATAAAGAAATTTATCACGAGATTAAGAAAGAATGCACAAGGAAAATCACTTGAAACAAATCAAACTGTAGCCACTTGAAGCAACCGATCGCATTTATGAACTCGACTGACGTTGTTGTTGTTGTTGTTGTTTTCTTTTTCGTATGCTGGTCGAACTATATTACTTTTTTTTCTTCTCTCGATGCAATGATCACATGAGAGCATCAAAAACAGCTGCAATCCACTTCGACATTGTACAAATTTCTAATTCAAGTTTTTTTTCTGTTTTTGTGTACGAGTTACTGAATGTGAATTGTACCAATGAAACTGGTTCCAGATGAGAATTGATGACACTATAATAATAATAATGTAAAAAAACAACAAATCCAAAGAGACGAAGAGTAGAGAAGTAAAAAAAAACGTAATGCTTAGGCAGATATATTTTTTTTCTGTATAGAACGAGATAGCTGTATGTAGCCGTGTGTCGTGAACGCGCAACTACGTCCGTATGATAGCTAATCGAATTTAGATTGTTCCACACACAGAAAGAGAGGCCGCGTTGAATGAAAGAAACAAAAGAAGAGAAAAAAAATATTATGAAAACAATGTATAAGCTGCGACTCCGGGCCGATGACGGCAACACTGACAAACAAATATCACAGCGACGGATCACTTTCAGTTTAGAGTGAGTTCACCTTGTTATCGTAGGTGTTCGACGTTCCGTTTTATTATTATGTTCACATATATGTTCGCCTCACATACACACGATTCCATACGTTTTGATCCGTTCGAAATTTCGAAACTGGTTTTTCAAACGGCAGTTGAAACGTTGTGTTGTTGTTTTTTTTTCTATTTTCTTCTTTTCGTTTTTTTGGTACACAGAAATTTAATGGGAATTTTTTTTTTGTTTATCGATCGAAATCTTTGTTTGTTGCCGTTTAGTTGTTCATAGAGACAGTATTGCTCTTTAACTTTGCATATGATTCACTGTTTATTTACCCACTTCGCGGTCGATAAATATTTGTTATTGATTCGCACAAAGCACACAGAATTTGTCGATCGTTGGATTTTCCGTAGCAAATGTTGCTACGACCAATAGAGAAGGTTGTGCAGTTTTCATTTGGATAATTTGTTTGTTACCTCAGTCGTAAAATCCCAATCGGGTGATGGTGGACGTCGATTTGTGTTTGCATCATGAACGGATGGCGAAGAGCTCGGCTCTTCGGGGATTACAGCGAATCGACCGCGTTGTACACATGGCGATGTCGGACCATATGTTCCTGCAATTAAAGTTTCAAGTTATTTTTTATTGCTCTGCGATTGGATTCATAAAAGTGTTTGTTACTCAATTCAATCATACGACTTGCGCTGGGAAAACCGTAAAAAAAAAGGGTGACTCAAACAAAGCCATTTCTTGTGAAATTCACAAGAATTTTCGTAAACACAATCGTCGATTGGATTGAATGACGGAATTCTTGTTTATTTACCTTGGGGAATAATACGAAATCGTCCGTGTGACAGCTGCTCGGGAGGTCCTGGTGAATTTGGTGGACAAATTTTAAAGCGACCCATACGAGTTGTATCACTTTCAGCCATGGCTTATCTGCAAAAACGAAGGAAAAAAACATCACAATAGATGTAAACTCCAGTGGAATAAAACTGGATTAAAATAAAAATTCATATGAAAAGAATTAGTAACCATTTGCGACTGGAAATGAAAACTGCATAAAAGTCACACGTCCACGGTTTCAGACACGAATAGAGAACACCAACTGAACTGTATTTTATGGGCTTGGTATTGATGTGTAACAAATTGTAATAATTTGTAATACAATTAAGTAATTGCATTTAAGGACAACTCCTGCGCCCAATTAAGTGCACCACATTGAGTCGGCGAAAGGAATAAACGTTGAGAAGATAGGAAAAAATCCGCGATGAAAAACACAACGCTGCAAAATGTAAACAATGAAACCAGAATTATATCGATTTTCGCGCATTCACACTCGGTTCTGATGACATTTACATAACCAATACACGCACACACATTCACGCATTGATATTATAGGCCCGAACGAAGTCAAACCAACACAGTTGAAGATAGTTCGAAGAAGAGACAAATACCGCATATACAACACACACACAGACACACACATGCACTCTGTGTCATGACAAACGACGTCGCGTGAATGAGACGAGAGCAGCTGAGCAGTGAGCACCACCACAAAACGCACACATTCACATCAATTGTACGTCATTTGAAAATTAACAACAACAAGACATTCACCACCACCATTATCATCAGAGCGACCCCATGCATGCTTCATGACCACACAAAACAACCAAAATCATAGCACAAATAATTCAAATCACCGAAAATGCATTGAAATCCCAAAAAATAAGAAAACAATTCGTCGCACTAATTTTCACTTGTTGCAAATATGTCTTATTCGATGGGCACAGCGTGATGAGTGTTGTGCGATTTTAAATGGACCGAACCGATTACCGCAAATTCGACTGTTTCACATGAATGCGCTAACTGAATTGAATTCAATTTTCAATAAATGTAAATACAATCGAACAAAATAAAGCGTCGTACATCTTGTGAGATGATGATTTTCTCCCAATATCACGACTAATCGATTTATCTCGTTCATTTCAATTCAAGCGAGTAGAATAACAAACATTTCTCTTGTGTTATTGTTGTTGATTTTTGGTTTCGTTCGATTTATAAGTGTTTGAAATAAAAATAAGAATCCGAAGCACACAGCATACAATTTCGACTGTCGTTGTCTCCTACACTGTGCGTCGTTCGTTTGATTACGCTTATCGTTGTTGGCCCATTCGTTTGCTTATAATTGTAATCATAAAGTTTCATTTAACGCTTTATTTTGGCATTTGAATGCATACACGATCGAACCGAGCCACAATCATCCATAAACTAACTAAAATTAAGTTCATGCACACTCATTTTATAAGAAAAGAAAAGGAGAAAAAAAAACAATCACATGAATAAAAAATGCCAAGATAAAAACAAACACGACCAATCAACTAATCAACACACTCTGACTGGGCTGGCTGAATGATTGCGATGCGGCACATAAAGAATATTTAAGCAATAAGAAATCGTCGTCGACGTCGTTAGTTTTGATCATTCTGCGTGTCACATTCCCATATAGACTAATCACAACAATAAAATCACTGTATTGCATTTCCGCGCGCCTTCCGATTCGAATAATCACAATCACACACATAGTTTGGTTCGCGATTGAAAAAGTTGCAATTTCGTGCTGTCACGAAGGTCCTTTCGAAATCAAGGATTTTACTTTTTGATTCGTTCTACTCCGCCTAATTGCCACTAATAGCAATTGCAAATCGTGCTTTAAACACCCATTTTCATTAATCAACTGCTGACGCTACTGCTGCTGTTGCTGCTTTTTTTCCCTTTCCGAACGAATTTTGAGCGATGAGATTTCTTGTGGTCCATGTGTTTAACGTTTGACGTGACGCTGTAATATGCAATACGCGAAGCACTCAACTGCTCGATTGCCATTTGGCTGTTGTGATGTACGTCATTTGGACTGTGAAACAATATGGTCAATAAACGAAATGCGAATCGATTGCCGAAGCAAACAATGACAACAACAACACGACCAACAACACCCAAAATAGAAACGATTATAAAAATCCAGTTTCAACGTCTCCTTGCCATTTTTGTCGTTGGAGGCTTGATGCTATTTTGTTTATTCATTTCTGCTGATCATTGCTGAAATGAATTGTTCTGCTGCCTTTTTTTCGCATGAATTTTTCACTTGAAATTTCGATTGTTTACGCGATTCAGCTGATGGTCATTGGTCAAGCTTAATCACATCACATGGCGTCATCGTCGTAATTCGAGAAAGTAGAGACTATGAAATTCGATATATCTCACCGACCACAATAATTAAACAAATGACGCATCCATTGAATGTGACACATTTTCAACAGAGAATTAGGCACAATTATGTTGTTAGAACATGCAATAAAACAAAGAGAAACTACGAAAGCGATAGCACCTTTTTTCAGTGCAATGCTAAGTGAATAATGAGGATAAAGAGTTGTTTTTTTTTGTATCTCAGAAAAGAGCAATGAACTAATAAAATTCTTCAGAGAAATAAATTGCTTCATGAGTAATACCGACATTCTTGCTTAATTTCGTGTACTGCCGAAAAATTCACTGCGTTCACATTTGTCGAAACGTTTCCATTCGTCGCTGGCTCTTTTTTTCTCCTCAATATCCAATGAAAAAGGTTTTTTTTCGGTTAACACATTCGATATTTACTCATCGATTCGGCTCGAATTCTATTGTATAACTGCAGATGCGACATGCGATATATACATACCCAAAAGTATACATGTAACCGAATTTTATTTGGGATAGTTGACTAAATTTATTTACTTACGAACTTTGCTTCTTCTTTTTTTTTTGCTTAGTGTGTTTGATGTGTATTTGAATCGTGAAACGTTTGTTCAGTAGTAATTGTGGATTTTTTGGGTTGTGAGCGCGCGTGCGATCGCGTTTTTCCAACAATATAGTCACTTTTATTTAATTTATCAGCACTTTTATCGTTGTTTATTTATGATGTGTTCGATATATTGCTCTCTTTTGTTAAGTCATTTTCATGTATTTATGTTTGTATTGATGTTGTTGTTGTTGTTACTGGTGTTTGGCGGCCTCTTTGCACTATTCTATTTCCTAGTTGTGTTGACTTGTTTCCCTTTCTAATCCGCACAATCCACTTTTTACTTGACTTGGCAATAATCGTGACGTACTCTTTTCTTTTTCTTCGTCGTCTCCGTCGTCGTCGTCGTCTTCTCTTCGTCTTGAGGGTTTTGTTTGCCGAAGGAATTTAAAAATTTAATTTTGTCCTGTTTGAACACACACAATGTATGAAATCAAATGGCACTTTTTTCGATCTGCTTTGTGTTCAACACACCACGTTGACTTTTCGAACCGATTGCCAAATTGACCTTTTTTGCCATCTAATTTGGTAACGAAATTGCCGAAAATCATTTGCGACGATAATTTTTATCACTTGATTACTTGATTCATTTTTTTCGGTACGGTATGACATCGGACTTTATTGCAAGAATGTGTCGATTTGGTGTTTCAACGTTATGATTTTAGCTCCCCTTTTTTGATAGAGACAATTGTGAAAAACGTAATACGCGAAATGAAAATAGACGAATGAAAAAGTGCTACTAACACCGTTTTTTCGTTGCACACACAACCACAGACACTGACGTACACACACACTGTCAACACCGAATACGTGAGACGTCGCGACGTCTCCACCAACACTTTAACAACCGACTTTTTGCGTGATTTCGCCACTATAGAAATAACATCGCATCGAACAATCCTGCACGTAGGACAATGTGATTGGCGCGAAGCTCAATTGATTGCAGCTGTTACCCGTTCTCCGACAATATTTCAATTTTCATAATTTTTCTTTTCCTCTCAACACATTCGATTCGATGATATTTCATGCAAAATTCATCACTATTTGGCTAATTCTGTCTATTTTCATGTCGATATAAAAATAGAATTGTACCATCTCTTTTCTTTTCCGTATCATGTGGTTGCGTGTGTTGCGTGCTACATTTTCCAATGACTAATAATCACCATGTGAGCCGTGAAACGGTAAACAAACGCGAACTTATACGCTCATAACGTGATGCAACGCACATGATTTTTTTTATATCGCAAAACATCCATGATAAGCACACTGACATTTATGTTAAACGTGCAAACTGACCGATAGAATAAGAGTATGATGCGTAGATGATGTGACAGCAGTCAATTTAAATTCATACTTTTTGAGAGAAAAAAATAATTAAAATGCAATGTTTTCGTGCGATTCGATGAAATTCGCGTTGTCCCTATCGGGAGACACACATACAGCAAATCCACAACGTAGTTTGACAGCTCAAAGTCGTATATACGGTGACATTTGCATTCATTGCGGCTATTTCTCTTGAGCCATACAGACGCTGCCGGAGTTTTTATCAATTTTTTTCGATTTGTTTTGGAAATAAGACGTGGTTAAAATGGGTGAAAAGAATAATGATCAGAGTATTATGGATAAATCCATGAGGTCGGTCTTCGGTGAGTAAATTTTTTCACGTATTTTCCATATGGATCTATATGTCCGGTGTGACATGAGTATTGTCTGTATTGATGTTCTAAATAAATGTTTTTACATACGTTCACAGTTGGAAACATTCCATACGAAGCCACCGAAGAGAAGCTGAAGGAGATTTTCAGCGAAGTTGGTCCAGTTCTTTCATTGAAGTGAGTGATTTTCATTTGAATTTGATCAACCTTATCAAATTAACTTTGATTATTTACAGGTTAGTATTTGACCGAGAAAGCGGCAAGCCGAAAGGGTATGGCTTCTGCGAATATAAGGATCAAGAGACCGCATTGAGTGCAATGAGAAATTTGAATGGTTATGAAATCGGTGGTCGTACGCTTCGTGTTGATAATGCGTGTACGGAAAAATCGCGTATGGAAATGCAGCAACTGTTGCAAGGTCCACAAATTGAGAATCCGTACGGTGAACACTGCGATGCAGAGCAGGCACCAGAAATCATAACAAAAACTGTGACCTCGTTGCCACCGGAGCAAATGTACGAATTGATGAAACAGATGAAGTTGTGCATTCAAAATAATCCAACGGAAGCACGGCAAATGTTGCTACTCAATCCACAATTGGGATATGCGTTGCTGCAGTCAATGGTCGTAATGCGTATCGTTGATCCACAAACAGCGGTGGTATGTGTTTTAAAAGCTAGTTTTTTTTGGGTGATATGTGCAAAAAAAATTAATACTTTTGGTTATGGTTAAATTTCTCTGAATTAAAAAATTCATATATGAATGAAATCTGTAGAATGAATTACTATCAGAGTCCATACGTCTTCAAACTCAATTTAGTTCCGTTGTTATTCTTAACTTTATTCCTCTATTTTTGAATCGAATCAAAGACTATGCTGTTCCGAGCTAATCAAATGCCGCCAGTGCTATCGAATAACTCGTCAATGATCGGGCAAACGATGCCACAGAACACAAACAACTCGATCAATCCATTGGGAATGGCTAATCACTCCAATCACTTCCCTGTCAGTCAAGATGTGGATCTACGCAGCATGGGCATGGGTAATGAGATTCATCAACTTTTCATTCTTCAGATAATCAATTTCTAATTCGACGAATTAAAACTAATTCCAACGTGATTTAATTTAGATCCTCGTCTCAATCGTAATATGGATTTGGATATGCGTTCAATGCCGGGCAATTCAGTTGGTAACTCTAATTCGATGATGGTTGATCCGCCATTTATTCGGCAATCAACAAATCAAGCGCGACCAGTACCAGTGGCTCCACCATTCCAAACTGATCCACGCCAACGTACCGATCCTCGCATGAAACCGCAACAAAACAATCAACCACCACCGCAACAACCATCGTCAGCACCAAACCGTGGTGCTCCAACGAATGTTCCGACTGGCGTTATTCCAAACGATGCATCGGACAATGAAAAGGCACAATTGATTATGCAAGTGTTACAATTGTCAGACGAACAAATTGCAATGCTATCGCCAGAGCAACGCGCCAGTATACTCGTATTGAAGGAACAAATCGCCAAAAGTACACCAAGATAGATAAGATATATCTCAAAATTCGAATGAAAACCCATTTTAATCTTTTTGACCAATTTTAATGTATCTCTTATCACAGCTAATCAAATAAATTTGCAACAAACGATGATTTTTTGACTATTTTTTCACATTTGTACTTCAGAACACAAGTCAAGTAGGCAAATGCCTACTTTCATATTGCAATGTGTTTGTTTATTGAATGTTTATATGATGATCAGCACCATCTAGTGGAAGTAAACCAAAATGACCCTTCTTTTACCTCTGAGACAGTGGAATAGTTGTTGAGAGAAAGAGTAAAAACATACAAAAAAAACGTAGCTGTTTTTCTGCACTAGAAAAAAAAGACCCCGATACTGGAAATGTGCTTCAGTGCACAAAGCCCATTCACAAACACATGCATGTGGTTTCGCTGTTTGTAACTTTTTCCACCTGATTCGTGTAAATGTATTGCATAGTAAGCAAGCCGAATGCGCGCACGACTTTCCAGTGTAATGAGAATGTGATTATAATGTAAGAGGCGCAAACAAACGGCACGGTCGTCGTTGTCGTCGATCAACGCTGAATTGACGGAGCAAAACAGAAAACAGCAACAGTTATAGGTAGTAACTCGAGCCGGTCAGACGCAAAAGAAACGTGTGTCTGTACATACAAATAAAATCCAATATATCGAATTGGCATATCACTTGTTATCCAATTCTTCGTTACTTATCTCGTTTTTTTCTCATTCCAAAAAGGTAATTAGCGAGATAAAGTTTTAGCCGTAATTCAACAAGTTTTTATCTCAAGTAAATTTTTTTTCGTACAAATTTTATCAGTATCGTTGTTTGTGCAGTTCAACGGCAAAAAAAAGTAACCAGTGGCATTAAATTGGTCTTGAGAAACTCTATTTGTGTGCAAAAAATTTTGTGTAATTTTCAGAACGAAAAAACAAATTTTTTATCTGGATTTGAACAATCGAGATTCGGAATAGAAGTTGATACCAGCATGCGACAGATTGGAGCTGAGGTAATAACACTTTTCTTTCTCATTTCATTCATCCTTGAGGTTAAAAACAGAAAAAAAATGTCCAACCTCATCGTGACGCGCTTTCAACGCATGTCATTCATAATATATATTTTTTCACTCTCGTCTTTGTAATGAAATACCTTTTCATTCGAATCGATTTGCTACAATTACGTTGTCTGCGATCGAAAGAAAAACGAGTGGTTTCAAGTGATTTCCATATGGTATTACTAGTGAATTTGTCATGTGTTTAATTGAAACGTTTCGGGCTTGGCTGGTTTGAGCAATGAAAACACACACACATACAACTCAAAGCCAATGTCAAACTCGTAAAATCATTCGCTATTTCAGCACAATTAACACTTAGAAAACGTTAAGTGCAGCATGCCGTAATTTTATGGCATAGTTTTTCTCTCCGTTTTATGATGGCTGAACCGCAAAAACCATGTTTTTCTAGTGACAGTTCGTATTTCAAACGACCGTTTAGCGAACGTCACTACGACGAGGTAAACCGCATTTCTTCTTCATTTTTCTAATTTGCTCTACAACCATATACCGCACCAAAATGCCGTTATCATTTTATCAGCAGGATGAGTGTTTGTTTGTTTCATTAAAAAGTGGCTAAATTTAGGTGCGATAATGAGCTACAGACTAATAACAAATACCATGGGATATGACTAATGTTAGGTGCAACGAAAAAAATACATTGTAGACGAAAGCAACAACAACAAATTGCAAGAAAAACGCCAGCTCAAGTGGCCAGCTGTCGCAGAGCAAAAGAACCACATTTCGCTTTCATTCACATGTTCTGAGTGCGATAAATTTGATATGCTAAAAATAAAAAAAAAATTGTCCAATTCAAAAAGGGCTTCTGGCATATGGACTTCTGGCATACAGTTTCACTGCCAAAAAAAACTCATTCACCAACACACAACAGTCTTGATTGTTACTAGAATTTTCTCGTATTTATAGTGTTTCGCTCAACAACACGAATAAGCCAACACTCGTTCAGCCATATATAGGTAAAGAGACAGTGAATTTTGAGCATTGAAGGGGTCACGCATCACGCTAAAATGATTATCTGGCTTCTGTGCCGGAACGATCATTTTGTACTCGCTCTCGCCGCTGATGTTGCCACCGTTGCTCGGCAATTGTGCAATGGTTCGATGTATCTGAAACAAAAGAGCGATGGCGTTGACTTTGACCAATTGCTCCTTCTAAAGTTTTGCATCGCTGAACGCATTTTCTCCTCGCTCATCGCGGATGAGCTACAACGCAAATCTCACAAAAAATAACAATGAATCTACTTAGTTTTTTCTTCTTCCATAGATTTGTTGGGGTTTTTTTTGGACTTCCCCCAAAGAAAAGAAATGTCTTTGTTTTGTTTTGCTTTCTGCTGTTCCGACTGTTGCTTTCCGTATATCGTGTTGAAATGCAGTTGGTATTTTTGAAAGCGCGTGCTTATACTAAAAAAGTATAAAGAAACATCCGAATGAAAAAAAAAGAGAATAGAATTCCGTACATTTGTTTCGTGTGTGTCTGTTTGAGTGTGCACGAGCGCTTCTTCAATTCGACTTTCTATTTTAACCGTGTAAATTTCGCAGGTACAAGTACTTGCTGTGAGACTGTCGCGCGAATTGACGGTTATTGCGAGGAAGGGAAAAAAAAGAACAATTGTACGCACTGTTTACGATGTCACAGACGCCGCCAGTACAAATGTCGGCTACCCACATTTCTTTCTCCCGTGCATGTGAAACAGCTGTTTTTTCTGTTCTTGATCGCCACTTTTCACATGCACCAAATGACATAAATTCGCTGATGAAGAAACCATACGTATTGGTGTTAAAAGATTTATTTTTTCGTTCGATTTATTTTGTTTGGTTTGCCTTTGGAAGCCCCGTAAACGTACGAAATCACGTCGAAGTGTTAAAAATAGTCGAATTACAAAATTTTCGTTTCTAAATTGGATAAACGCGTCCATTTCCAAATCGATGCGGCGCTACATTTGTTTCGATTGCTTAATGAATGAAACAAAAAAAAAATGTTTATCGAATTTATTTGGCTCTTGAAATCTCGCATTCCAACGTAAATCTTATCACAGACTCACCTTAATCATCGTATTAAGTTAATTGAATTCCGAACGCTCACACGCATAGACGCCCAAGCAACTTCTCGAATCAAATAGAAAATGAAGAAAATAATGATGAATTGCTTACTTTGCTCATGCAATTCCAAAACCGATGTTTATCCCCATTTCAGCTTATCATTTTCTTTCTACCTGAATGTGTACGAGAGAGAGAGAGAGAGATTTACGTAACAGGTGAACACGAATGGTGTACATCTTATTCCAATGCATCTCTGTTCATGTTACATTCAGTTAATTATTGTGTTATTGCTATTTAACCGGATTTCCAATTAATTCCTTTGAATTCTGTTTCTGGAGTGATTCTCTCGTTTCCCACAATTCGCATTCGTTCAAGGCATTTGATCTTTGTTGTTGTTTTGGTGTCAGTCAATTGGATGGTGAAACAAAAGAATGTGTCGTGCAATTTGTTTGTTCAAAAATCGAGTCAAAAAGTGGAGATTTGGGGTCGATTCATCTCTTCACGTCGTCAAGATTGTTGAAATGGGATGCGTGAGATAAAAAAAAAATCGTCGCATTTCAATTCTTTCAGTCGTCATTGCAGCGATGTGTATGTTCTCCATAGCACGGCATGAAAATAGGTCTACGTGTGCAATGTGTCTTTAAACAAATTGACGAGCGCAACACACGAACCGCCAGCTAGTTTCTAGTTTTCATTCTCCCGGCATTTTCTTCTCATGCCTTTTTAATGTGATACACGTTAATGCTATAAATTTGCTGTGATCGAGCATTTTTCATGCGTGCGTGTTTGTGTGTGTGAGCCGGGCGGATGAGGCAAACATATCTTTCAAAGTTATGATGAATGGCGTCGCATTTAATTCTTGTGGCAACTTCTTGTTTTAAAATGCGATCACAGTCGGGTTTTTATTTTGTTGGAGCCATTTTAAAGCAACACTTCACCTATATTTTCCTCACACGGTTTTCTTCTTCTCGCCCGGTGCGTTTCGCAGTTCGAAGAAGCACGCTTGCACGACAATGCTCAGCGATTAACCATGATAATACACGGTGTTATGGCCATGTTCATGCGTTTGCTACACAATTTCAATGCTAAAATTTCATGAAAAGTAAAATGATTATGGGGAAATCCAAACTAGTTTGTGTGCCATCGTCTCGACAACCGCACAATGCGAAAACAATGAGAAAAATAATGAAAACTCTGTGTTGAGCTGTAACCGCAAACAAGTTGTCAACTGAAGCGTGATGTTAAAATTAGACTTTAAAACCTTGTTTGTTCGACTGAAATCCAAGAACAGATTTGAGAAGCGAACCGAGAAGAAGACGAAGACGAAACAAAAAAGAACGGTCGACGAGCAAAATAACACGCCAAGGCATGGAAAATTGACAAATCAACGATGATCGATCGATTTCAAGAACCGAACGATGATGATGATGATACATGTTCACGTCGTTTACGTGGAAAAATGCGAGTTTAAATTTTTACTTCACGCACTTCAGGAAATCATTAAGATTTCCGTAAACACCGTTGAATCAATTATACTGCAGTCGCTGGCCTTTTGGATCACCATCGAAGTGGTGTTGAACTGGAACCGACGAATATATCAAGTGCTCGACTACGTAGAGTGTTGCGTTAGAATACAGTTCCATTTCGATTATTCCTTTTTTTTCATTATTATTATTTATTCATAAAATAATCGATTTTCATTTTTCTGTCCATTCCGTTGATTCGATTGCGCGTCGGCTCAGACGTTTGGCTCAATTTGAGCGCAGCGAGGCGTACGTAATACCATATCGTCTGCACCTTTGTACACCTATTCGCCGTCTTGGATTTCCATTATTATCGATCGGGCCACTTATTCTTTCGAAACAATTTCATCGGCAAATTCTTTGGCAATCTGTTGTTTTGCTTTCTGCACTGTGTGCCACCTCGTATATAGGATATTCCACCACGTTCCATATGAGTTTCTTCACAACGACCGGCATATAAATGGCCCATGTATCGTTTTCTGGTAGATTTTTTTTTCTTTCTTTCTGCTGTTTTTGTTCATCTTTTCTGTCTGTTTCTTTCATTTTTGTGCATTTTCATTGAAAATTGAATAACGGATGTGATTCAGACACCTGTTCATTCTGTTAGTATTGAATGGTCAATTTTCATGTTACTTCGCATCAAATGCGATATTCTTATTCGAACAAATGGCCTAACTGTAGAAAATATCAAAATCATACGTGATAAATTAAATTTGGTTTTTGTGAAAAACTTGGAATCGATTGAATTTCAAGCAGATATTCTTATTGCCAAAAGGTTTCAAGAGCCAACGTTTTGAAAGCTGATTTATTCGGTTCCCAATAAAAAAATCAAAGTAAAAGTTGACTGGCTTGTCTCATATGTAGTGGTACTAATCGCTCAATTTAATTCTCACAATGGTGGCTTCTGAATACCTTTTGATCTCCTCAATTGAAGTTAGAATTAGTAGAATTGAAATGCTCCTCAATTGAAATTATTGCTGGGTGCAAAAAACAATGTCACTAATTATTTAGAGTTCATCGCTTCGTGTATGACGATCAATTCTAATTCGTAAGTGGCTTCACGTAATGAACGAAGTAAGAACCGAATGATATTAATGTGATTGTCTATTCTTCAATGGTAAGTCGATCAAGAAACCCAGAAGAAGTAGAAAAAGACGCACGACACGAATCCACTAATTTCAGCACATGTGCTAATTTTTCTTTCTCATTTTTTTTTGCGCGCTTCATTTTCAATTCTATTTCATGTCGATCGAAATGGATTTCAACAGACACAATGTATTTCCATGGCACTTGCCAATTTCAATGAATCACAGTCGCTATATGTACAATAACGAACGCAATATATATCGTTGAAGCACCTTATGCTACTGTGTGG